TGGGGACATGGATCAGTGGAAGCTGGGAATGGTTGGACTCCATCTTGGATGGCTTTTCCAATCTCAGCAATTCCAGGAGTTTATAAATCCTTGTTTGTCACCCCAACCTCCCCCTCCTCAGGCTTTGCTTTCCTCTGGCTGCTTCCCCTCCAAGTGCTGTCCCACCTGGGGTGACATCCCAGTGGGAATGGCACATCCCAGTGGGAATGGCACATCCCAGTGGGAATGGCACATCCCAAGCAGCCCAATGTGCAGAGCTGCCAGGGGACAGCACCCCCAGCCCCTCCCCGTGCTGCAGGGTGACCTCTGGCCCTCCCATCTTGTCCCTCCCCCTTTCCAGGTGCTGCCTCCCCTCTCCTGTCCCCCAGCATTCCCAAGGCTCGGGAAGCAGCAGCTGCCAGGGCCACACGTCATTCCAACCATCTGGAAGCTGCACACTCCGGGATTTTTTTTATATTTTTTTTCTCTATTTGGAGGTTGCAACACATCTTAACGAGATGTCACCTCCTCCTCACATCCTCCTGCCACCTTGTTCCCGGGCTGTGCCATCAGAGCACATCCCTTTCTCTCCCAGAGAAATCCAGGAGTGCTCTGGGTGCTGCTGGGGTGTGAAGAACGTGGAGGATCCGTGGCTTTCCCAGGAAGCAGAGCAGGGGAGGATCTGATTTTAGGAGCCCTGGAATTGAATTTCTCCCTGCCTCTTTTTCGTTGTGTTTTTTTTTTTTTTTTCCCCCCATTTGTAGGAGTTGGGTGCTGTGCTGATGCCACAGAGCCAACAGGAGCTGCTCCCCTTGGAGCTGCCTGGAGATCCCAGAGGATTCCTGGGATTGTGAATCCAGAGCAGAGCCAGGGAAATGCTGCTCCAATGGGGGGGTGTGGGCCTGGAAAAACACATCCTGGGAATTGGGGTGGCCAAAGGGGGTGACCCAAGTGACACAGAGCAGGGAATGGCTCGGGTTGGAAGGGGCCTTGAAGTTTATATTTATATAGATAAATTTATTTATTTATTTATTATTTATTTATTATTTATTTATTTATTTATATAAATATGGAATTCATGGAATCATGGAATAGTTTGGATGGGATGGAACTTAAAACCCATCCAGAGCCACCCCTGCCATGGCAGGGACACCTCCCACTGTCCCAATGTCCAACCTGGCCTTGGACATTCCAGGGATCCAGGGGCAGCCACAGCAAATCTGGGAATTCCAGCCCAGCCAGGAATTCCCAATATCCCAGTTAAACAAATTCCATGTCAGTTTAAAGCCATTCCCATTATCCTGTCACTCATCAATTCCTTGGAAAGCACCGAGCTCTCCCCATGAGCAGATCCAGGGAATTGTGGCACCTTATAAAAAACCCCTTAATTATTTCCAATGCATCCTCCTAATTACTTCCTGTGATTAGTGGAGCCTCCTCTGACACTGCAGAACAGGATCCTGCCTTCTCCTTATTAATGCCTGGAAAGGAAAAAAATCCCCATTCCCTGG